CTAATTAAATAAACAGGTACTAAAATTAATTATTACTTAATTATGAAATTAATGAAATTAATTTCTTAAATATTAATTATGAATACTAACATTAATATTAGAATCTTTGAAGTTCCTGTTTTACTATAATATATGTACATGCACTAAAATCAAATAGAACCTAACTACACCAAATTCTGTTTTTACACGATTTTGATTTAACACGAATAAGGAAAAATTAATTCTCCTTTCACACGACTTATTTTGATTTAACACGACCGACCCAAATTTTTGGCCTAGCCAAAACACAAACACAACGATTAATTACTGAATTCGTTCTTAAATCCACTGAAACATCGGCACCACAGGAGGCTAGTCCTAATTTTGTTCAAAAGATTACAGAAAGAATTTCACCAATGGAGCACGAAGATGATAACCAAGACATTTCTAGCGATAGCTGTAATATTGTAGTCTTACGCAAATGTATGCGTTTATTGTGAGAAAGTGACAACGAATACACGAAGATGATAACCAAGACATTTCTAGTGATAGCTGTAATATTGTAGTCTTACGCAAATGTATGCGTTTATTGTGAGAAAGTGACAACGAATAAAATCTTTTTACGTGTAACTCGTATTATCTTGCCTAATTTTTGTGTTCATGAATTAGTGACATGTGTTTCTTCCTTTTCAAATGATAATTTACTTTGTATGATGCATGTGCAATCTTTATGAAATGAAATCTTTAAGATCCTAACACGAAAACTCATGTTAGCTGATTTCTTGGGATTGGAACCAATCTTCCATTTTTCCATAGATACAATATATTGTTTTACACGTATTCCTCGGGAACGTATCTATCGTGTAAAAACAGAATTAAGTGTACTCTGATTTCCAGGAAATCCCAAATTCCACGAGCATCAAGGATGTTAACATTTCCACATTAGCCCGATTATTGAAAAGAAATGCAATTCCAACGTGCGTCAACAACCCTGGAAGACACGTGTATACCCAATTCTTTGCCAAAGCACCCCATGCAAGGCGTCACCCGCAACATTCTCCGCCATTAACGGAACCTGTTACTCGTAACAATTCCCAGGCCGGTTTCATAACTCCTCGACGAGTACTGTCTGCGAATGAACACCGACAACGACGCTCGAAAAATCTCCAAGAGGCAGACCATGCAAACAACTCGAAGAATGGTAAAGGGAACAGAAGAAAAGGTCGAAGGAAAAGACAAAGAAAGCAAGAAAAGAAGGTTATCGCTGAAATTGTGCCGGCATTACTTCAGCTCCAAAAATTTCCCTCGAAATTACTCGGCTCTTTTCCCTGCCCTCTCGCCGCTCGAGAGGATGGAAACAAACGTTTCCGAGGACGAGTGCAGCAAGAGGGCAGAGGCGACGCGCTTCTTAAAGGCCGTCAGAGAGGAAACTTCAGAGGATGGGGCGGTTCCACCCTACTCGTTAGCTGTTACAACTTCCAGCAGCGTGCAGACGCGCGATTCCAGCTTCCCATAAAGCGCTCTCGACCATTCGACCGAGCGTAATGCACCACCGTAAAACTCGCCTACGAGAAATTTCAATTCGCGCCGGGCTAAACGTGCGTGCACCTGGATCGTGAAAATCGTTCGAGAAAAGAAACTGGAGGCAGGGAAGAATTATTACTGTGAGAGGAAAAGAAAGAGGGAGGCGAAGAGTGGAGAACTGTGAAGGCGTGATACAATGCGGTAGTATGTGTTCCAGAATTTCTATGGAAAATGGAAACACGTGTTTGGAATCGAAATGGTTTGGGTATATTTAGAGGAGAAACTAGGGCGTTTGTTGCGTGATAAATTCTTGTTGGATATTATGGCTCAGAGGGGTTGTGGGCTGAGCAGGGATTCGAGGAAAGGGCTGAGGATGTAGATGATTTTATTAAAGAAAATTGCTTCCCTTCTAGAAAATGGAATATTGAATTACACACTGGACACAGATTGAAAGGTAATTAAGCAATTCAAATTTAAATAGTGGCAGTTGTATCTGAATATCAAACAAAATTAATTTCTTGTGCCCCCTAGGGAAGGTAAGGTAGGAATTGACTCTGAAAATCTTTTGTGAAAACCTCTGTCTGTCTGACCATTCTTTAAGAATATTTTAAAAAGCCACAAGCATTTAAACTTCATCCTAAAAGAATTAACCCTCGACTACTTCTGAATCATAAATCTTCACAATTTTTATTTTTATTGTGCAATTTACAAATATAATTTAATTTCGTACTTTACATTTACAGCGTAAAACACAAAATATAAATTAAATTAATCAGCTACTTGTAAGTCTATAATCCATGTTATCTAGCAATCTAGATAGCATCCATACATTTTATCTATATATTCATATCATTTTTCTATTTAACTAATCTTTGTATTTACACCGTAAAATACAAAATATAAATTAAATTAATCAGCTACCTATTAGTCTATAATCCTTGTTATCTAGCAATCTAGATAACATTCCATACATTTTATCTATATATTCATATCATTTTTCTATTTAATTAATCTTTAACCGACCAAAATTATTTTAAAAATTAACCTAAAATTAATCTTCAATTAACCACCATGCTAGTGTTAATAAGAATATCCATATTTCCTAAAACACCAATTTTTTAATCATTTTCATCACGATACGTTATTAAACATCACGGTCGTTTACTAAATCGATAACAAAGAAAAGATTCAGGAGGTCTGACCGATTTTTGTAAAATAATTAAATTCTTAAGGGATTGAAATCTAGACTTCAAGATCCGCAATGTTCATAGGGAAACGTATGTGTAAACTGATCACGATTAACAAACAAAAGTGCAGGCACAAACCTCAAAGCATCACGAGTATTAGAACAACAACCTCCGACAAACAAGATACTCGAGGAACTCGTCTGACCTCCACACACCGTCAAACACGAAAATCCAACGCACGCGTGAAGGACTTTCAACGGTAGCCTTCCGGCCAAGAAAAATTCAAGCAATTTGAACGTGTGTCAGAAAAGAATTACGCGAGACAGTGGACAATAATTTCCCCGGCGACGCGATTCCGATCGTGCAGCGTTTATTCGAAGGAATTTTCTGGCAACAATGGCGAATGCGTTGTGGCGACGCACTAAGCACTTTATCTGCGATGCGCAGACAGCCACGAGTGACATTGGATTTCGCCCGTGATCCTATGTGGCGTGATCGAGGAACAAAAATCATGCAGATCAATATCAACAGAGCTCTAAACCCGTATCGATTCCCTTCCAGGAAATTCGATTACAAGCTTCGTTGGTTTTAGCCGGGACGCGTTGCCCAAGGTGAACGAAAACGTAAACAAAGAACGGAGGAATGGCGGAGAAGCTTGAGCGAACGCTTCCCGACGCGTCCGGATACGTAGAATTTTAGAATATAACCGACAAATGGAAGAACGTTGTAATATTTCGAAAGTTCAGCGAGGGACGTGTATCTTATAATGAAACGAACAATGGTTTTATATTTTACAAATTCTGTAAAATGAATAATAAGTAAAAATATAAATTAAAAAAAAAAAATGTAAATGTTGATGAGCTTACCTGAGCAGGAAAATATTATGTATAAATATAATACATAATAGTATATTACGAATGTTTTGTTTCTTCAAGAAAAAAACCTGTATGAATTTATTAAATTTAATTTTTTTATGTATACTTATGTACTATTTATTTACATGGAATTGTAAAAATTGTAAAAAAAAACAATGCATTATATTTTGAGAATATCATGTAATGACGGCGTTGTTATATTTTATGCAGTGAAGGATTGCTTATTCCGATTATTGAAAAGTTATGAATGCGAGAAAGGTAAACGTAAAATATAATTTTATAACACGTTATGCAATTTCTTGTTTATTTAAATTGAAAAAGAAATCAAATTAGTTTTATATTTGACTTTTTATTTAGAAACCGATACGTGTATATTCGGTATTACGTTTTAAAGTAAATCAATATCCTACATTTTACAGAAATGTTCTGTTTTAAACCAACGTGTGAATTCAAACAAGCCATTATTTTTACTTCCATGATAGAGAATTCCAATATTATTTCAGTGGAATTAACTCATAAACTACTTTAACTCGATGTTTGTATCACGAATAATATACATATTTTTAAAATGTATAACTTTCTCAATTAATTAATAACCGCAATATTTGGCACGTATAAAGAAACTCACGATAATTGAAAAATTTTTTATTATAACGAAAAAATTTAATTTTTATCAACTGAAAAAATATATTTTAAAAAATATAATACAAGTAAATTGCATAATGTATATTTATTATATAAATAAATATCTATTTGTAAATTCTGCTTATTTATTTTTATATAATTATGTGTATTTTATAACGCAAATATCTGCATTATATATATATATATATAACTCGAATATCAGCGGCGCGACAGCAGACGAGGTACGATTATATATATATTACATTACTTGTACTCTATTATTCTTATCTGCAGCTATTTATTCTATCTAATCCAAATATTTCTTTTCACTTTATATTTCAATCTTTTTAATAGGAAAATACGTTTATTTTGCTATTAAAACAACTTCACGTTGTGGTTGTCACGTCACAAAATTTTATATATATTACTAGAAGCGAAATATAAATCTAAATTCAATGTCACGTGACTTAAAACGGCGGACGTTTACCCCCTCGCCATGTTTGAAAGTTCAAATCAGACGAATCGAACTATTGACGGAACGAAATATTTTAGACACTTTTTCCATAAATATTCCTGGATGTAGATAAAATTCCATATAAATTTACCCCCATAAACACTATTTTACTCCTTTCACGAACAAAATAACTAATTATAAGGACAGGGTATATAGCATTTTCGAATTTTCGTCGTAATAGATTTAACATGGCGTCACATCGATCTATTGTTCGAAGATCACGCCAGCCGCCATTACATGATATGCGTCGCAATTAAAAATTGGCAAATTGTGCAAGATGAAGTCTGAAAGACTTACCAGCGAGGATGGCGTGACATTGCAGACAGACAACGAGGGCGAGCAACGATGTAGTTCTCATTTTTCACTGGATTCGGAAAATAGTCTTGCTGATAGACAAACGGCCAAATCGATCGACGCTCGTGTATCGAACGCACGTGTAAACGTTGCACAATCGCGACTTTCCAAAGGACCCTCTGTATTTTCAGTTCGTGCACACAAGCTTACCACGTAAACATTCGCGAACGAAAAGCCAACACGTTTAATTGCGACGTAGAACTTTCCAACACGTTTAGTGCGTGTCCCTTATCGTCCATAACAGTTAATGTTCTTGATGCGACAATCCAACGGAAAACGTTAACCAAACTTCGCTTGATGCTTCGTCGCCGGCAAATCACCGGACAACATCCTCCCTACCACAACGACTAAAACCGACTGAGCACGGTACGCCGAGCCCTTTCGCATCGTTGCCCGAAAATGGGGTAGTGCGCACGTGCGGGAATTGACCAATCACAGCGCGCAAATGGCCATTGCTAACCGCACGCGACGCTTTGCGATTTTTTTGTCGGATTTAAAAAGTGCCTTTCCCTGTTTTCGTACACGAGATCCGTAGATACAACGGAAACAAACTCCACAGGCTCTTGTCGTCGCGAAATTCTGACATCCGACGTGCTTTTCCTTTCGTCGTTTGCCCCCGTGTAACACGCGACTTTGACTACAAACGTGTGAGTATGTGCACGCGTATAGAGTATAGGTATATACGTCGCATGTATGCTCAAAGCGCGACATACACGCGCGTTGCAGCGCAACAGGCGCGCGAAAACGTAAAATCTGAGCCTGTAGCATTTGAAAACAGACGTATGGAAAAATGTAACTTTCTGATTTACGATGCTCGTAAGGATTATCCATTTTGACATTTATGACCTGCTACCTGTTCCAAAGGATGCTCGTTCGTTAATTCGACATTCGTGCTTATGAAATGACTATTTATTTATTTTTTTTTTTCGTTGCTAATTAATAGAGAAAAAGAAAACATATTAGAAATAACTAATTAATAACTAATAATTTTGATATATTATTTTTAATAAATATGATACAATTCAATAATTTGTATAAATATATATTTCATTTAATTTTGTTTTAATTATATTATTTGTTACAGCCTTGGTATAGTTTACAAATTTATTTTTTCAGAAATTCAAGATCTATTTGCGTTTACATTACATCCTGCAAAGGGTAAAACAGGGCAATCGTTTATTATAGCTGACACATATTCTATCTTAGAAATACAATTTTTGCTTTTCACTTTCATTATTTTTATTGTATTCCTTTATTATAGATATTATGGAACTAATGTACATTTTACAAGTAATTTAAATTTACACTTTATCAAACGCAAGTATTATATATCATTATTAAGGAACATTTGTGAAATAAATTTTCCATACTAAATAATATTAAAAGCACAAGCTAAAGCAATAAAAACAGGCGAGAAAATGCTGTATAGCTGAAATTTAACTTTTTTCCTAGAGTAATTGACTGCTAATTAAACTTTCATTGAATTTGAGAGATTGTTCGAAATGAATTAAAGTCTACAGATATCAGTGAACTTGGCTTTGCCAATATAATACAAATCGAATAAATTCATTACTCTTTGAGATAATTGTGCGATACGATAGGTTTAAAATAAAGAAGCATATTAATAATTCATAACATCATTAAGTCCATAATATATTTTTTATTACCTGACCGTTCCTTTTTTCCCCCTCTCTCCCTTAATTTCAATATTGAAATTGAATTACTTTCAGTAAAAAGTAATTTCATTGATAGAATACATTATATTTCGATAAAATGCGATAATAATAATGCATTTACACATTTAAATGAAACTCTCTTGTTTCATTGGAAACTGCAGGTCTCACACGAGCCATTAGCTTTTGTTTTATTCAATTTGATAAGCTGACCCAAAATCAGGATTATATTAATATAGATTGTGCAAAAGTCACTGGCTGCATATTTCGTACATGCGCAATCTGTTCCAAATATATAGCGAAAAAAGAAAATTATTCATAGGCAAGAGTATGCATTTTCCGCAAAAAATCTGAAATATAAATGAGAATCAATGAAGAACATTAAAAAAATTGAAATGGATAGAATGTTTCTTTCTATTTGGCTATTTGAAATAATATATATTCAAAGAATATTAATACAATTACATCCTTTTGTCTTTTTCAGTCGTTATTACATTTAATTAAAAATACAAATTAATATCTTTGAAAGTATCGAAATATAAATTTATAGAATTATTATTTTTAAATGAAATACCTACACGAGTGTTACGTGATTAGATTTTCAATTCCTATTCTGTACATATATCGTATTAATATACAATATCATTCGTTTTCCATGAGGCATAAATTGGTCAATCGATTTAATTAAAAGTTTCTAGGTCTGACAACATGGAGTATGCCCTACAATTTTTCATTCGAAAACGTAATTATAAAGTTACACGATAGAGGTATATTGACAACTATAGATAACAAATATAATCAAAATATAGATATCATGCTTAGAAAATATACTTAACCTAGTTAAAAAAGTACAAGCTGTAGTCTGTGTTATATTTATTACATATAATTATTTAAACACTTTCCTCACAGTACTTGTGCAAATTTATAACAATAAATCCAGATAATGAACGTCATAAAACAGTTATTGAATTATTAATTTAAATAAAAATAAGTGTCTCCAATTACATTATTCTGTTTAATTATGTTATCAGACTATTACCTTATTACTGTACTCTACTATGATACCATTATTACATTTTACATTTATTATACAGAAACAGCTTTATCCTTCATTAGTATTGTAGTATATATTGTCAGAATACGATTGTATCTTCAAAGGCATGTTTTTAATATAAATTAGGTTTCCATTTATTTTTCCTCCTTCATATAAAAACGCAGTAGAATGTTATCTAGAAATTCTCATCCCGTCATGATTCGGTTTGTTTCTGTATTATTTACGCGTCGTAATTCCAAACTGTATTGTTTCTCGTCGAAAAACGGGGTCGTTTAGTGTTTACTCGCATGAGAGTATTCGTCGCTGCCAGACGCATTCAACGGAGTAGCCCATCAGTTTCAAAGAATGTTATTATTTCAACCGTAAACATGGTCACGCGTTAACGTTAAATACTTTCAGAAAAGAAGGGTGTTTGACAGTAATGGATGTTTGGAAAAAAACATTAATGTTATGGCAAACATTACATACCTGGAATTAAAATAAGATTCAATTAAAAATATCATAATGATGATATTTCTATAATTATATTTCATTAAAAATAATAAACATAAGTTAAATAGATTTTTATTAATGAACTCTCCAATAATTAATAATTTCATTATCAGTTTGATGATTTTACTTTTTCTACTATCGTTGCATCCATTGCATATTATTTATATCTTTTATCAAAGACAGATATTAAGCACTGTTTAACCTTAAAAATTTTCATACAATTAGTTTTATGGAGAATAATTCTCTTGGAAAATTTATAGATATAAAATAAATAAGAACTTATTAAAATACTGCTTATTAAATAGTAAATTACTTAAAATAATACAAATTTTTGAATATTTAAAATAATTATGCTACATAATTATTTACAAATATATGTCAATTTATTTGAAAACATATTTATCAAAAAAATTGCGATACCTACAAAAAAAAAGAAAGAAAATAAAAAAAATAAAGTTTGTCAAAGCTAGGAATCGATCGGAGGACCGCTCGATTTACGTTCTAACGCGCTACTAACTTCGCTATTTCGACATGGGATAAAGGCAATTTTTTTAAAATTTACAGAAATTTATTTATATTTACCTATTTCTTTACTAATAATAAAATAGAAATAACTCTCTCTTGTATGAAAATAATATAATAAAATGCGTTTCAATTTTTATTTTGTCATATTTTTAATCTTTCTAACACATTCTAAAATATATATTGAGTGTTAATAATTGTAAAAATAAATCAATTTCTTCATAATGGAAATTTCTGATCATATCGCAATTTAATATTACCCTTATCTTCTCAAATAAAAATTTCAATAAAATACATTTTAAAACATTGGAAAAACTTCTGTTGCACTCTCGTAGGACCGTATTGTAGCAATATGCTACGATAATTGGTTAAATTCCATCTGTAGTCACAGTAAATTATTATCCACAGTTCGTATTCGTCATTCTTTTCTCTAACTCGACCTACTTTTATCACATTGTCTCGCATATCCTGCTGCTTGTCAGTCTTTGCACGATGCACAAGTTTACGTTTCCCAGAACAGTCTTTAAGGTTATTCGAAGGGAAAGAAAGAGATCGGTTGAAACTCACGGTCGAACAACGAAATCACGTGGTAAACAAAGATGGATATAAATACTACGAAAACAAACCACGAATTCAAGAGAGAGACGCAAGAAAGACTGTCAAGGACGCAAAGTCGATCTAAAGTATATTTTTAATATTTTTCACATAATAAAACATAACCAGAAACGTTCATAAAATATTACTACATAAGGAGTCAACATTGATTGATATAAGTATTAAGTGCCATTAAATAAACCAACAATTTTTTTATATAATATTATATAAATTGGCTATCTATCATATTATATCGATTAAATTATTACTTTTTAAATTTTTATAATTGTATACATGAGTTATATTTTTTAAATATTTTTCATGTTAATGAGTCAAACTTTATTTTTTTTTGACTTGACTATTTAACATTTCTACCAGCTAAACTGTCTAATGTTATATTATTATATCTTTGAAAATTCCTAACATAATATTACACAAAATTATTTATTAAAATATATTTTTCAAATATGTAAAAGTTCTGCAGTAGGTGGCGCTATTCGCGAAAATTATATTATATACAATTCCATTGCCATCTTTGTTAAACGATCGACGAGGAACACTTTTGTAGAACGTCTATTAAAGGAAGAACAGGAATGAACAACGTTCTCATGTTTCGTCCTCGAAACTGGTTGAAGCGAGTTGAAAAGTTCTCGAGGCCGCCATAATGTTCTTCCTGTGTGAACTTGGCCTACAGTTTTGTGCGCTCGCTACATTCACGACGTTCAGTGTCGCGTCGTACGTAGATGGTGACGGTTCGTTGGAACTTGATTTATAGATAGTCGAAAGTTCACAGGGAGTGTAGAAGTAGATTTGTGTGTAAATTTCTTCTTCGCGCCCTACCGGGTGTAGGTGCATCGAAGAAAAGGGAAAGTATTACCGTCCCGGATTTGAATTACACATGATGGCGAATCTGAGACAAACTCCGCTGACGTGTAGTGGACATACTAGACCAGTGGTGCATCTTGCATTCTCCGATATCACTGAATCTGGATATTATTTGATTTCGGCTTGCAAAGGTAATTAATTTCTGATTTTCCTACCATGAGGAGGAACTTGCCGTTGACTCGTATCGGTCAATCTTTTTTGTTTCTTTGCGATCGGCACGTTCAGTTCTTGATCGCCTTGGCCCAGTTTCTTTGGAAACCAAGGTTTTGTAAGTTACGGCTTTCGAGGTTAGATACTGTATATTTGCAACGTTATGGATTTCCTGCTGG